CCACCCCCCCCCCCCCCCCCCCCTGGAATCGAGCCCCAACAAACTTTAATCGCCGATCGTTAGGTTAAGCTCACCAGGGTCCTGACCGAAACGCTAACCAAAAGCGGAAACCAGGTGTGGTATATGCTGTAGATACAACGAAAGTCCAATTCAGACTTTTTCACCCCGGTTTTTCTCGTCATGACTCCTCAAATTAGACGTCTGAGTTTACTGACTGGGAAAGTTTATTTATTGTGCTGGACGCTTGTTTTATTGTGTCTTGTGCTCGTGTGCCATATTTCCACATGTCGATATCAAAACGCCGTTTTTGGCGAACATGTCTTGGAATGCCATCCTTTTTTCTTCATGTTTTACAAAAGAGTATTTAGTCACAGCAGCAACAGATTGTCAAGTTTAGCCGTTATTGTCGCAGAGATCGAGGAAAAGCCATTCTTTACGGGGACCTGCAACTGGTAACACAGTACATCTCGATCTGGAACATTATTGGCACGAACAGAAACTACCTCTCTAGCTCTGAACTCATTCCTCGAGATCAGGGGGGCCGGTCCCATGGTGGACAATAAGGACACTTTCTTTGGTGATCTGTATAGCAAGCAGCACTTCCACGGGTTTGGCGTCCACATAAATCCTCGTTACCGAGGTGGCATTGTGATTCTGGATTCGAAGCTGGTTGCACTGAATACTTTAAGTTCCGACAGCCGAGGCTACATACCAATGACGGTATTCAAAGCCTGCTGAGCGGAACGGAAAACAATCTCTCGTTGTAGGCTAAACAGGCGGGCGAAGTCAAGCGCCTCCCTAGCTCGAACAGCCCTTGTGAGTCAGTAGCTGCGACATAGCCGATTTTATATGGAATTGTCCGGCGGTCTCGTGTGTTCACAAAATTTTCAAATTCGACTTGGAATTGTAGATATTTCCGTTTTAGAAATGATCGACGCTTAGAATATAAAACATACATGTACGGAGTATATTGTAAGACCATTGGCATTGATATGAAGTCTGATCTGTATGTTGTACATATATACGCCAGATCTAGACCACGGGAAAACCCGAACCAAAAAACTCCGAAACAAGACCCCCTGCCCAAGCATGTGGACTGATTCCGGCGTACAATTGGCCCAACCGAGGCCCCTCACAGTGTAAAAATTCTTTTATGGTCGATCCACGCGATCTTTTTTAGTTCCCGCTGTAGACATTGCAACCTCGCCCCTGGCGATCACCGGAAGATAGCATATATTCGGAACGAGAACTACCGAAAAAGGATTTCTAGCACAGTTGCGCTTGGATGATTGCAATACTTGCCCATATGTCTTTGCTAGCCCCTGTTCATCTAATACCGGAATTATCAGGTTTCATAACCATATTTTTGAGTGCGTTGTTTCTTGGGAATTTTTGGGTGGGTCATGTCTTTTACGATATCTGGATGTAACAATTCTTATTGGTGCGCGAAGACGCGAAGGTGCTTCTTATCTTGCAATCTCGAAAAGAATCAACTGAAGTGAGGAGCTGGGCTCCAAGGCTGAATGAGGCGTTCACTGATGCTTTCTGATTGGCTTGATGCATTTATATTTACCTGTTGTAGCTTGATAGTCGAAACATAAAAATCGACCTTGGAAAATACTGAGAGTGAGTTACTCATGACGACATGTCTTCAATTATTACATGTAGGCCTACGACATATACTAACCTACATGGAGGTATTGGACGGAGCACTTATCTGCCTTTACACGTAAACAAAGAGTCCCACATTATTGACTTTTCTTCGGTATGATGCAATCCGAGTGGACATGAAGTTCTGGAACTCACCGAGAATTTCACAAATTTTTATAGTGGAGAGTCTGCAAAAGTTCACCGTCGATGATCTGCTTGTCGGGGTGGGGCCGCAAGAAAATCCTTGAAATTTGTAGATATGTACATAGCTTTGACCCTCGTCATCTTTAGTGCTCTAGACTGGACTGTAAGCTGTGATTGTGCCTTTAGACTCATGATTCTAGATCAACCAAATGGCCGCAGGTTTCCAAGGTTGGATTGATAAATTAGATTAGTGCAGGTCGCACACACCGTGGAAATGGATATTGCTACCCAGGTGGCGCTGTCAAAATAAAAAAAGATAGAATGAAAATAAAAATCCAGTTTTAGCCTAAATTATCACACCGGGAGGCCTAGTATAAAAAGACACGGCAACTAACATCTCATACACTCGGGGAGCTTAAATCGGCACGCAATCGGGATTCCGATCCGGTGAAGCGGAAATGCCCGCGAGCCCATGTTTGGAAGGCATCCCGACTGAGTCCGTGCTCGGCTTGCACAATCATCGGGGAGCAAGGCAAGCCGAGTGCTATCATTCGTGCGAAGTATACATATTACCCGAAACAAGTGAACAGATGGGCTAAGTAAGGCGCCGTAATCAGCAGTCTGTGTCTTGGCCTGAGACCTTATCTTCTTTTTGGTTTTACCCTTCCAAGGTTGGCTGAAATTCCCTCGCAATATCTCTGACCCGCTTTGAACCTATCACAACGCCACGCGCATTGACAGCTGGGTGGGGTCTTGTTATCATAGGTGGTTCCCGCTCTTACCGCAATGCTCATCAGGGACTCTAGTGATGTAAGTGTTGAGTTACTCGACAACA